TTGATAGAATTACTGCGGATTTTTCCAACGAGTCACTAGCTACTTAGAAAATAACACTCAGATGTTTTCGTACGATTTTGTTTCAGGAAAAGAAAGTACATTTGTTCCCCTTCAAGACATGTGGTTTGAGGGCTATTTTGCATTCGAATCGCTCTTAAATCCGGCGCATTTTATTCGTAGACGCGGAGAGAAACTGCGTCTGCAGAAGTACGAGAACTCTCACTTTTTCAAAGAGGACTCCAGCTTCAAGTTAACGAGAAAGAGGTGTATGGGTGAGTTAAATTCTTAAAGGACTTAAAAGGAAATCGAATTCATATCCAACTACATAAGGAGGAAAAAAAACTTAGTGATCCTTTGTACTAAAAATTGTCCTGTAAATTAGTGACTTTGCACGAGAGGCAGTGACTATAACCTCTAGGTAAGATTCTCGCACAGCCCCATTGTATTATGAAACAAAACTGTAGTCCTAAAGGTAGTCTATCGCTTTCGCTATTGTTTTCTTTATCCAAGAATTGTATGCGTATTGTATTGTATGGTCATCGGGCTGTGCGGAAGTCTTACCGAAATCTCCACTCAGGTTGCAGTCATGAACAGGGCTAAAAATGAACTCCAGTGCCTGGTGGCTAGTCGGGCCAGTTTCCTTGAATTCGTGGTGGCCCATCCCAAAATGAAGAAGCCCTCGATTTCCTTTAGTTTAAAATTAAAAAATTGAATAAACACTCCCTGGCTTTTAACGGAGTGTTAATTAAAAGGAAAGAACACAAAAGTCCAGAATCACGTGGCAATCACAAATTCAAAATGGCGTCTATATGTGGATTGCTCGTGAAATCATTGTTAAAACGGCTCGGAATTTCCACTTCAGAACTAAAAATTCACTAAAATGGATGATCTTAGAGTCCAGGCAAAGAAACAAAGAGAATGGTAGTCCAAATTAAATTACAAATTGAGTTCTATTTCTAACTTTGTACTTCGCATAATTTACATTGCAACTTTTCGAAATTCTGTAGCATAGTCGCTCATCGGGCGTTCAAACCTTGACTTTTGGTAGCCCTGGTCAGTTTTAACTCGCCACTGGCGACCGTGCGACCGCCAATTTTTAGCCTTGCATAAACCTATACTTTTCCAGTTTCATCGATAAAATTTACTACAACAAGGTACCAAAAAAATTGGAGGAACTTTATTTAGTGTCTCTACGCAAAATTCAGTTACTCACGAAGAAGTGATAAACACATACAAATTTACACCAAAAGCAGCAAATTTGTTTTGAATTACTAAAATAGCATCATGTCTAATTAGCGATTTTTTAAGCAGTGTATTTCGATGTCTAAGAGAAATCCTTAGCAATTTTGTGTCATGGTGTAACATGCATCAATACAACCTGCAATTAAGCTCATATTGAGCTGAAAATCAGGATATTAAATCGTGTTGCATATCAATTAAAATAGGAAAGAAAAATTGAATGTTTCTGTTCTTACCTTGCATCCAAATGTCCCGAACATTTCTTGCCAAGTCCTCTTTCACGAATGGAAACAAGTATTGAAAGAAAATTCTGGAAACGTGTCACTTTACCACCAGCGACGCGGCTTTCATGCAAAAAGCGCGGGAAAATGCTATTCATGGAGACTGGGGATGAAAAGGACGAGTCTGAGGAGTCTTTTCGCTTCTAATGGCCAACATCAATTTAGTTATCAAACTTCGTTTTCATTCCTGGCCATTTTTTAAATGACGAGACAATTTTTCTGCGTCTCTTTTTTTTACCCTCTGAGAGACAATGTCTGTACTTGCCGGCCGGCATTCAACTTTGATCGGGAAGAGTGAGAAGGATGGAATCTTTTGGGATTTACGATAGATTTGTAACATTTTAATGACAATAGATACTAACCTATGGGTTCCTCCATATTACAGCTTGTGTTAAGGAAGGCTCGCGAGTCTGGGCGAGGGCCGAGAAAGGATGTTTCCAACGAGGTGTTGTGACAGCGATGGACGACGACATACACGTACAACTTGAAAATGGCAAGAAAATAAGACACAAGAAGGAACATCCTGAATGTGTGGTGCCTGACGCCGTACCACATGTGAGGGAAGTTGACATTGGCACAAGAGTGTTGGCCAGATGGTATAATCGTTTAGACACTTGTTATCCTGGAACGGTGACTGCCATTCGACGCAGTTTCTTTGACATAATATTCGATGACGGAGATAAGGGAATCAATGAGCTTCGAGAATTAAGAATACTGAGGAAAACTGAGGGCGAAGAAGGTGAGCTAAGACAGCCCCAAAAACATAAATTTATTGTTTATTATGTCAAACAACAATATTTTTATTTACCTGCGTGTTGATCATAGTTATTATGGCTATCAATTACATCTCATTATCGACTTTTTTGTCATCAGTGTTTTTCATTGACTTGTTGTTTTGAGGACTCAACAAGTGAATAACCATGTGAATTCCCACAGAGTACGAAGAGGTACTCACCACTCCGGTAGCGAAGAAAAGAAAGACTAAAGCGATTTCGGATTACTTTCGACACTCGATTGAAAATCATTTTTTTAGTCAATTAACATTTGTTGTTGCTTGTGACGTGTTTCGTTTAGATGGCAAATCCGCACTGCCTCCATGGTCTTCGTTAGACGGAATACCTCGCATCGAAGGAGGGTTATGTATCGACTATGGCGATATCATTACGACCGGCCCCAGCTTGTTGAAACGGGAAATCAAAGAAAAAATTACAATAGACTATGAAATATGCTCTACACAAGATTCGCCCGACGAGGAACGCGTCTCTAGTCCTTTGGACAACACCGATGTGACGGAAATAACGGTCAACGGGCACGCGGAAGATCCAATAGAAAATGAACAGAATTGCCATCAAGATGAAAACGGTTTTGCATTGGAAAATAACTACAGTTACCTTACCCCGGACATTTGCGAAACGGAGCCACGAAATCCAAGTCAGGTCAGCGGAAGTTCGAGCGACAGTGGTTACCAAGGCAACAACAGTCATCGCCAAAGGAAAATAGGTGTTTGGAGGGCCACCTCTTGTGAGTGTACTAATCATATTTAGACTGGTAATATAGGGTGTTGAGTTACAAAGAAAAAAGCTGTTTCCTTACCATAGCGAGCTCAAGCTCAAGATAAAAAATCTAGCATAAATGGCTCTCTTATAAGCTTGAGGCACCGAAAGCGTCGCCTGAAAGGGTGATATAAATTGATTGAATTGAGTTTTCTTTGACTCCCATTACAATTCTGTCTGTCATATCTTTAAATCGATCGATCGTTCTCTATACCATTTTATCTTTGAATACTTCTATGCACTCCATTCTTTCTATGTTTACTTCAATCACTGTTTATTTCTAACTTTCCCATCCCAGCATGTCTAACCTCCCTCTCCTCTCCTATTTTCTATTTCCTATTCTCCAGCTCAACACAACGTGTTCCGCTGTGGGAATAATAGTCCCCAGTTCCTCTCTCCTTTGAGCTATCTCTCGCACCTGCACGTCCCAGGCCTTTCTGATATCTCTGACGTAAGGCGAAACCTTAGTGAATTGAGTGTCACTTCCAGTGTCGACAGCGGTTTTAGAGGCAGCGGTCATTCCTTCCGACTTCGGGATAGGTCTCCAGTCAGATGTAAGTGTACCGAATGACCATTCGCGAGCATAGCACGTGACTTGACCTACAAAGCACCTGTCTGCAATGGATACTGACTCTTGAGAGACAGCTGTCAATCTTAGCACTTTGCACGGACGTTTCTTTACCAGCTGCACTTGCAACCTTTTGCACATCTTATGCAACATTCGCTCCATCTATCTGTTATTGACTGTAATTATATTCTAATGAAATTCCTCTAAACTTAAAGATGATGGTTTTAACAGGACAAATGAACGTCATAAACTTTGGTAGGTAGTAGTAGAGGTTCTTCCGGAGCTAATTCATAGTTTGTTAAGAATAACGTGAAGAAGTAAATTACTTTATATTTATTTATGACACTGTTTAAAAATGCAATGTTTATTTTCACCTTATGGATAAAACAGATAGTACTCTTTTAAATGTCTTTCAAATTGAACAAAAAAGTTCGACCAAAGAAGTCTAATTCTAAACTAATTTAATTTTTGCGGCTATCATTCGTCCTCAGGTCCCGGTCATGCGGTTCCCGTTACCAAAGTCCAAGAGAATTACTGGGAAAAAGAAAAGGAGCAAGAAACCGAGGAAGAAAAGCAGAAAATAGAAAGCACAGAGGATCTAAATGGGGAGTTTCATACTGGACCGCTAGGTAAGGGCAAAACAGTTACTCTGGGCCTTTCATTTCTTTCGTGTAATGATTTAGCGTTTCAAAAACTATTGAAAAAAAAGGCTATATTTACTTTCTTGTCTTGACATTTGTGTTACATAAGGCGTATAGATGGAAGTAAACGTTTTTACGATGTCAAAATCATTTCATAAACAGCGCATAAAAAAGAAAGAAAAACTGATAAACTCGTCAACCTCTGGTGTGTCTAGTATTTATGTGGGAGTTGTGTTGTTTAAAGGAAATTACGATTTAAATCTTCTCGAAACAGCTTCTTCTCTTTCAGACAATTATTCCCACTGTCTTCAAGCTTCCTTACCCTCTCCCGCCATCTTATCTTTGTTCTTTCTTATCTTCCCTTTTTAAAGGCTTGGAAACGGTCATCTAACACTCTTCGCTCTTCAATCAAGAAAAAGCCATCGCAAAATAAAACATTGCAACACCGTGGCTAGATTCCACTCCAAGAAGAGGCAAATTCTAAGAAACTCAACTTGAAAGAGAAGACACTCTCATAGCTGTTTCGTATGTAGACCTAGAACCAATCAGCCTTTCCAGGCGTAATGGGACGTGGAAGTCGTCGAAACACGAAGAAAAACACCCAAAGGAAGCGAACAGAAAAACCGCGTCTCGATCGTGGGAACCTTTCCCCGCCCCTTCCAAAAGAAGACGCTAAGTTGAAGATTGCAAAGAAGACAGACAACACGAGACTTGGAGGTCGGCGGAAGCAATTTGATAATGTATTGTGAAAGAACAAGATTCCGACTTCTACCATCAACAGATAAAAAAAAATGGACTACATATCATATATGAACAAGTTATTAGGCAGTTACATTTGGTTGGTTTACCAGATAGCTTTATCAGCATCAATTTGTAATTTGCACAAATCAAAGTAAAGATTTCAAAGTCATTGAATCAAATTTGGAAAGAGAGGAAAGAGTTTTCATTCAGTAGCACTGATAAAACAATTGCAAGTGCACAAGTAATTGACATAATATCTAGTAACTTATGCAAGATATATCGAAAACGTCTCATTGATATCTACTACAAATGATAGAAAGAATCGTAAAAATATTACAATGAGAGGAGATGCGAGAAGAAGGCAATGAAGAACTAAAGTTCATTTATCAAGGACGAACGCTTCCGTTAAATTTCACCGTTTGTCATCTTTGAAAATGAACAAAGAAAACAATACATTTTTACAATCTCAGCTACTGGGATTGGCAAAATCATAATGGCATGTTTCGAAAAATCTAGGCATATTATACAATAAAAACATAATACAGCGAACGTCTTTCCAAAGTTTTTTGTGTCTCCATAAAAAAAAAAGCTTGAAACATAAACGCATAATTGTTATCAGTGTAGATATAGCAGGGGTGGACTCTCTAGCACTGATCTGTCTTACTCTGACGCGTCCTTAAAAACAGGTTATCAAGAACAAGCCAAGGTTAAAAATCAACCCTTTAAAATAGCCGCGGTGTAAGTTTGCTCCCCGGGCACGACATCACAGCCTGATTTACAGAAATTAAGGTTAGGCATCATAGAACGCAAGCTCACGCAAAGAAACACTACTGTGTCACAGAAAAACGGAGGTCACCCAGAAGAATTCAGTGAGTCGAAAACAATTTCAAGCGCATAGCTAAGGAGTATAGGGTTTAAAGCAAGCTCACATGCCCTTATTTGGCTGTAATTGGCTTGTGCTGTCCCCCCCTTCTCACAGAGAATGCGTGTTTACGCCGCTAGATCGGTTGTGGAAAGAGGAACGCAAGAATGAGGTTTAGATCTTGTGTTCGTTCTTCATAGTTTCCTTAAATGGAGGATTAATTGAAAAATAAACTGTTTGTTGGACTTCATATTGTTCATGTAACTATATGAGAAGGATAGAAGAACTCAATGTGATACTTGTGAGCCCAAGATTTAAAGATTTGTCTTTCCTGTCGGAGTCTTACAAGACCTTTTAAGAACTGTTGGTGAACTCTTTCTCCTTGGCTCAAACAATTGCTCTGCCAGGAATCTGGAAGCCAGTAGAACACAGGAACGGTTCCATGTCTAGAAGGAATTCAACCACACTTAATCAAATTCAGATACAATAAAAGGGAACTGAAAACAAGGAAAAGCTTCTTAATTCTGATGCAAAACCGTATGCTGCTCAGGAAAACACTATAAAACCAAATGGATGTACCTTTCACAGGGGTTTTCCAATTCCATACCAAATACCCTGATTCGGGGACAAAACTGACGAACGAGATTCATTGTGAAATATCTTGTAGAAATGGGAAGGTCCCGCCTGAAAAGCACAAAAAACACTGTTTTAGATAATACAGTCTCTATTTCGACTTTTTCATATCTAGACAGCTTATCATAAAAAGTTTATGGCGCTTTCAAATAAGGTGCTCTATTGGTGATAAATGAAGTGGCAAAACCGAATAGGCATTCTTTTAAGATTGTTCCTTAATATCAAAACTCCACCAGAAGAATGGATGCAAAATGAGGAATTGACTGAATTGATTCGAAAATAAGGTCCTCTCAGGTTATGCATGGACAAATCTGGTTGTCCAGTTGTGACTAAAGGTAAACGCCCGAGGTCCCTGATCTCCTAAGGTATCTTTCATCTTTTTCAAATTTTTATAGACTTTCTCTTCAACGCGCTATGATTTGTCTCCTATTTGAGAATCACAAGTGAAGGAAAGCCTTCTTAATGCTAAAACAGGAGAGATTCAGCCACCTTCCGTATTTTATTCCAAGGTTTCTTGATTCTTGTGTGACTTTCTGGTAGGTTTCTTGCGTTACCCGAAGAACACCAGTATTTTTGAGGTATTTGGCAAATTTCTGGTACAGTTTAGAAAGTGTACAATTTTTACACAGCGCCTCATCCGGTCCGAGCAGTATCATGTAATCTAGATCTTCAAACGAAGCTAAGGTTTCCTGCCAAGAATCCCTAATCAAAGACTTGAAACCTGTCACTGAGACAACCCGAACAGTGGTTCTTCTTCCAACGTCTCTCTCATAACCGAGAGTAGGCGCAGAGTTCAATCTGAACACACAATCGGCAGAATCTATTTCTGAGCCTGCATTACTGCCAAGCAGCATTCCAGAAGAGCTCACTAAAGAGCACGTATGGCAATTGAGAGAAAGTTTGACAGGAATGTCGGGATTCGTGGCCAGCACGAAGAAGTGTTGCTTGGTACCAGACTCTTCAGCAATTGGTGACTGAGCCGAAGAAGTCTTCATCGCAATTTTTTTAACTGGAGGGGAGCCAAAGGTGAATATAATAACTATAAAAAATATAATGGCGATGGTTGACACAGCAGCAACCTTCTTTATTTTTCCCACGGAAGCCTGATGGTACTTGACATTGAGAAATCTGTAATTAAGTAAGGTTTACCATAAGCATGAAAGTCCAAAGCTACCATTTTCTCAGCGATTACAAATGCTAAAGTTTACAGAGAATCATCCTTTATCTAAAGACGAAATAGTTCAGCCTTTACCTGTTCTGGATAACGGCATGAAAACGTTTCTACTTTAGAAATCAAAGAGAAAAACGAAATATCATCAGGTACGCTGGCTGGACATCAACCAATCAACCAAAAGTCATTTAGTGTGTCAGTCAGTCCATTTGCACTGATGATGTGCTGACGCTCAAAACGTCAGCTTTAGCAATTCTTTACGGTGGCCAAGATACATTTCAACTCAGCTAATAGAACCAAATCATCTTGTTATACTTCCCACCGACACAGCAACACAGTTTCTTCAGGAAATTACTTCCTTTAGTCAGTCAACTGATGAGCTAAACCAGGAATCAATCATTTCACCAGTCCATAGGTAAATATTCCGATCAATCGACAAAACAGTCGCTTATGCAATCAATCACTTACCCAGCAAGTAGCTAATGGTTTATTGATCGCTTAATTATCTAGCGACTGACTGACTGGCTGACTCAGTGAATAACTGATGGAAGGATGGATTAGATGGTTGACTTAATGACTGATTGTTTAACTGCGGTCTGATCGTTTGAATGATGAGCCGACAAACGCTTAACGGAGTAAACAGTCAGTAAGACAGTCAATCACATAAATTACTTACCAGAGGAATCTCCTGAAACAGTTTAATCTAAGAGTTACATTACAGGAGAAAGACTATCCTCGTCCAACATCTTCTCAGATATGTTGTACATACCTCCGGACGTCCATGGTTGAGCTTTGGCCATGGTCCAGTTCTCGCCTGCCCACAAGAAACTCATCGAGCATGTCTTCATCCGCTACGCCAGCTGTTCACAGATTGAAAAACTATTTAAGTTGCTGATTGTTCCATCGTATAGGTAATTTGGATTTGTTATGGCTTGGAATGAGTCTGATAAGAACATAGATCACTTCAAAGACCCCCACTGAGGTGTTTAAAAAAAAAAAGAAAAAAAAAAGGTTTCCTTTCAATTAAGCGTCGTTTCTGATTAGGAAAATTGTGCTTAAAAGGAATTATAATGGCAGGAAGCCAAAAAAGGAAACGAAACATTAACGATCCACACTTTGAGAGTAGCTGAGGTGACTCGAGGGGAAAGATGAGTAAACTCTTATCAAAACAATGGCTATCAACTTACAAATTCATTTCAATTTGATTAAGTGATACAAAACTAAAATTGCGATTGGCTTATGTTATGGAAAAAAAAAGAACGATCACTTTTCTTTCAGCCACAGCATTTGCTTGGAAAATTAAGGTTCGAGAAAGTTTGGATTGACGCTATTACTGGAGGCAAACTGATAACTAGATGGTGTAGTAAAAGTAATTTATGTCTCTTATTAAAGACGAAAATCTTCTTAATGCCCTTCGGCAGTTTCATGTCCAACTAAAGTAAAATAAATATTCATCAGATTAGACAGGAGATTTATCGTACTCTGTGAAGTTATCTTTCAGTGCTATTTGTGGTTAGAATCTAACTCCATCTCTTCAGTAGTGCGGCCGCTACCTGCACTATCTGAAATGATCTCTAAAGGATCCTTTATTAACACTCGCCACGTCGCCCCTTTACAAACCACTTACAAGTAGTGCTGTTTTGCTGCCTGATGAGAGATCTTAAAGGCTTAAGAGTAATCAATATCAGGAATCACCCCATTCTATATTTTTTATAACAATGCACTGACAAACTCTTCATTCGGATAAATAATGGAACATTAGCAAGGGACATCCACAAATTCTCAGAATTGTATTACAAAGAATATTACAAATGACAAAAAAGAAAAATGATGCTTTCAATCCGGCTTAGAATTTGGAGAGTTATAGAATACCTTTTCAAAAGATTTGACAAATTTAAACTATTGAAAACTAGTCAGGTATGCATGGGTTAAACTGATACGAATTCAATGGTAAGCGTTACAAATTTCCTCCCTATAAAAAAATATTTTACGTAAATTTGAACCAAGAGTATAATCAATCCGATATATTTTTCAATTTTCAGCCACAGAATATTTACGTTTGAAAAACAAAAAACGATGGAAAATGGACAAAGTGAGATGTACTATGAGAGGGCGGTCCGAATTGACGAAGTTAATGATATATTTACATTGAAACGAAATGGAAACCATTTCAAATCGAGTCAAGCCTATAAAATTGGCCAATCACAATATGCATAGCATGCGAATGGAAGCACACGTTAAGTTCAAAATAATTTTTTTCCGTGTTATGAATTTTTCCTCTCTTTATTGAACTAAAGGTGAGATCTTCTTATCACAAACAAGATACTAGCAACACTTTGATTACCACCATGTATGAAAATTATCCACACAAAAAAATGGTTTTTTTCACAAATTCCTGTCATGTAAAAAATTCAGTTTTAATGGAAATCTCCGTGTCCATTAGAGTTTTTATTTGCCAAAATCCTCTGGTCTAAATCTTTTACTTTAAATTTCCCCCTTTCTTATCCAAAAGAAAAGTAAATTGACTTTTCCTTAATCGTGTCATTTCGTATTTAACGTCAAAATCACATGAAATGAAGTTGATTATGCTACATTTTCAATTTGCTTTGATTAATACAGACATATAATTGCGTCACAAGACAGAATCTCGATAAGAGATAACCCAATCTTGTATACACGGGAAGAAAAATGTTTTTTGGGAAGTTAAATATATTCGGAAGCTAGAACAAACAGAAAATTCGCAGCGACTCGCGAAATGATTTTTCTTTTAAGCTTTTGTTTTCATCTCGGCAGGATGTCGGCAAAATCTTATCGCTAAAAGCTGCAATACTGCTTTTCGATATTGAAGGTTATCTCATGTATAGTGAAAATAAATCTGATAACGAAAGAAGATCACATTGGAAAGAAAATACTGTCACCTAATACTCTAAAAGAAGACATTTTGAGATAGGGAACATATCTTTCCACTAGGGAATTAAATTGGAGAATTCTCCCTTTTATGCGCCCAAGGACAATGATAATCTTTTTCGGTGGCAAAACTGAAGAAAATAACAGTAAAAGATAAACCACCACCTCTCGCTGAACCATTTGCCCGAAATTTGAAGTTAAAGAAATTTCCGCGAACAATAACAAAAGAAGAAACTTAAATATATGTAGATAAATAAAAAGTAATATTTTTGAACTTATTCACTAAGTGCAATTTAGTTTCCTTACTGTTGTCAACATTGACAAGGAAGGAAAAAAGAAACGACATGGTGAAATCTTTGTAACTGACTTGCTGGTAGATCACTTACAAACAAGCGCCACTGAAACCAAAACAAATTTAGTGAAATGTACCCAGCGTGGCTGGCTGCAGGACTCGTCGAAAACTGTTATGACCTCCTTCTTCAATGATTTATGACATACAACATTACTGAACCGACCGGCAATTTTAGGATGTTAAACCGTAAATTTCGCAGTCAGCACGGACAGAACACGTTCAACACGCCGGGGAAAACGTTTCTTACCGTAATAGAGCGGAAGATCCAGTGGCATGGGGACTCTTGGCTAATTCGTGATGGAGTAGCGCTCGATCAAAATCAACTCGAACGCTCCTCGAGCACTCACAAATACAACGCTTACCAAAACAGCCCAACAAAACAATCCGTCAAATTTGCATTTTCAAACGAGTGTGGAGGTGTAACAACAATCCAAGATTAATACGTTTCTCCTGCGGAAACTGATTTGATGAAAATCTCTAATTGCCACAACAAACATAAGAGCTTGCACTTTTACGTTTGGCTGTACACCTGTCACTTCCGAAGGGAATCGACTCAAATTGCCTCATAAATCTCGGGCCGTGAGATGCGACCGCAAAAAGTTTTTTTAAGATTTATCTTGAATTGAGGCGTTACGTTCAGTGGTTGCCGTTTCATTTTGTAGCATTCGGATGTTTTTCAGGGTAGACAAAATATTCCTGTTTTTCCCCTTTCCGGCAGCTGATTTTGTTTGATGTCAAATGCGTATGAGTTTGCCACTTAACGAAAATGCTTCCACCTTGTTCAACTTAAACCCACATCCGGGATTTCCTGGTTGCTCTTTCTTGTGCCCAGTGTCCTTATAAAAGGACGGTGCGATTTCAACGTCAGTTGAGGAGTGTCTTCATGAAAGCGAGGGAAGAACATTCTTGGGAAATACAGGGCCTACTTCCGATATGACTGGACTCAAACTTTAGATTACAAGTGGTTTCTCCTCTCGTTGGTGACCCTGTCTCTGAAATGAACGAACCACGAGGTTTTCAGCTTTGAAAGAGCTATCAGTCGCGCTAGGTGCACAAGGGGTGAAGGAAACTCAGCTATCGCGCTTATCATCAGTCTTTCAGCGAAGTGACGAAGAGCCGTGAACAATTTCTTCCCACAAGCGATCTAGTCCAGATCACTTCTGCACTGCACTAGATGATCTACATTATGCATTACATTACATTAGACAACCAACAAAAAATCATTCTCCTTTGAGTTTTTACGGAAGTTTATTTTTAGATATAAATTCACATAGATTCACTTAGACAATTCCATTTTGACTAAAAAATACGTCTATATAAGACTTACATTAGGGCTCTAGCTGAGCCTTCAATGCCCTACAACAATCAATGTATAGCTTCTCCGTGGCAGATTCAGAGCCAGATCAAACCCTTGACCAAAACAACAATCCTCCCAAGAGGGATTGCAAAACATGTACCAACATTGTTGGGAGAATCCAACTGTTGATACTGAACTGACACGACGGTTTGCTGAAACTCAACCGTTCATTTACATATTAAAATAATAAAAAAAATTATTGTCTGAGAATTTCAAATATCGATAATTCCTTATCCAGCGGCGACTCGTTATCTTGTACTCTACGAGTGTTAAACAAGGATTAACTTGCTGTTTGTGTTTCAAGTGGGTTAGGATCTTCGATCACCGGAGGTTCACATTGTCCGACGGTACAAGTGTGATAGCCGGTGTAATTCAAACGAGTAAACAGATGGTAGTTACCGCTATCTTAATTACTTTTAGAGGAGCTCTCTTCGATTGAGTGTCGAAAGAAAAAAAATTAACAAAACAATCACAAAAGCCGATCAAATTGAAGGTTAACATCAGACTTAGCCAATGAGTACTCAAAGGATATACACGACATGTCTCAAGCGTAGAAACAAGCGAGTGAGCAAATCTCGTCTAGTCTTAGCCGTCAAATTGATTGGCTGAAAAGATGTCTGGCCCATAGAATAAAACAAAGCAAATAACCAAAAAAACACGGTTTACATTCGACACCCAATTGAAAATTGCATCATAGTCTTTATGTTCAGCGGTACCTCGCTGAAACCTTGCGGACAAATCAAGAACTTATAACGTGAGAGTTCCGTTCGACAAAGCAATTTGTTTTATGAGAATAAAATGAAATTAAAAAAAAATTAGAGCTCTTGCTTTGGATGACACCTCACTTTGCTTGATTACTATCGACCATTTTGGTACTAAGAGTGATCAATACCTTACTTCTCTCTTACAACTTCAATACACTGTCGGACTAAAAGGTAAGTAGAAGCAAGAAAATTATCAACTACGGTACAAACACTGCTAACACATCCTCAAGACTAGCTAACAAAGAAAATTAGCACAACAACAACAATAACAAAAAACTAGTTTTCACATTTTATGAGCTCAGTCATTCTTGAAACTCGACTTCTTTTTCGACAAAGTACACTCTTAGAAAATTTCATAAATAAAATTAAATAACACTGATAAATAATAAATGAACAGAAGGTATAATGTTCACACACGTTTCAATGAGGAGTCATCCAAACAGAGTTACGGTTACAACTTAGACTTGATATAAACTGGTTAAATATGGAAAGGATTGCTTTAAATATAGGAATTTAAATTAAGTTTTGAACTTAGAAACTGACCTCTTTCTGTTGATAATATCTCTTATTTCTGCCTTTAATATATTAATATTTCTTACGGCCACGAGTAGCTTGGAGTGACTTTCAAACCCTCGAGTCCGTGTAAACCAAAAAAAGATCACATAACTAAGCTCCCCAGATGATGTGACGTCACGCTCTAGGGTATTCGGACATAACGTCACGCTATAATGTCTTCTGGCCCCGGTGGTTCGATAGGTGGATAACGCTAGTATCCGCTGAATAAATCTCTATCCGGTGGTTAGCGCAGTATCTTGTGTTGACACTTATCCGCGATTTATCCGTGGGATAGAATTATCCATCCTTTGAACAACTGGGCTATGATCTTTAGTAACGAAACACTATCTAGAGATAGCAATTATAACACCAACTACACATTATCTATTACTTTATGTAATCAAATTTTTATATTCTGAAGAGCTATTGCAATCAAGATAACCTATAACGATCTATATCTCTGATTAGGTTTCTGCGAGTCACGTGTATAAGGAATAATCAACATGCTCATCAAATAAATAATATATTAAACAACTCTTATAGTAGTTTTTAATACTATATATTTTGTAAATTATAAATCGGACGTTTTAGACGTAAATATTTACATTTGAGATAAAGCTTTTCATTTACTATTTTGTTGTGTGCTTTTGGTGAGGGGAAAATGCACCAGTTAATAAAGTAAAGATGCAAAGTTCTAAGTTAAAAATGGTAAAACTAAGCGTTGAAGACGCAAGTTCCTAAAGTACTTAACCTGAAAAACAATTTTTTTTAACCCATTCATAATTTTCAATTAAATTTTTAAAATTCAGAAAATTGCCCCTTTAAAGTGAATGAATAGACGATTACCCAGGCCACAAAAAACCTATCCCGAGCCACAGAATATAAAAAGAAATGTAGAATAAAATTCACCTCTAAATTTCATAAATTCATACATTCTATTTACAATAACAACTTATGCGTTTAATTATTTAGACAGGTTTCTCTTCCACTGAGTGAAGAGGAGAGGCAATAGGACGATGTGCATCCTTAACCCATGAACTCCCATGAATCGATAAGTAATTCTCCCTTCTGAGCGCCACAAATTTTCCAGTAAATTGCCATAAAGAATTTGGTATTCTATCAAGATCACACCCTCTGGCGGATTAGCTTATCTGTTCTCAGAATCTATTTGCAAGATTATGTATTAAAGTAACACTTTAAGGGGTTAAAGCGTCAAAAAACAACAACAAAAAAAGTTAAACAAGTCAAACAAACAAGCTTGGAAATCAGAGGAATTAAAAGGAGTTACAACCGCCAAAAGTTTGCTAAAATTTAACCACATATTTAAATGCAATATTCCTCTTATATCTCTTATAATAAGTGAAGTGAAAGACAAACATAAAGGTAAACGCAATGGATGAAGCAAGCGACATGTAAATAAAGAGGAGGATAATATAATATGGGTTTCAATAGTGTGGTTATAAATAGTGCATAAATAGGATTATTAGGGACACGAAATACTGTGGTTGTCACAGAAGTAACAACACGAAAAGAATTAAAAGAGCAAAACCATTGTGAAAAGGGGTCTTATCTTAGAGGATAAAATAATACAAAATGTGTAAATACATTTCGAAACCTCAGTCGAGGCTCCAACCGTTACTGTAGTATTTTAAAAGATATGTAGTTAGCGGACTTTGAGATAATTATCATGATAAAATTCTTAACTTCTCTGGTACTAATAATTAATAATTTCTTGGCAATTCATTTAACATTCCCATACATAACATAACCTAAGTATCTAATAATTATGAATTATAGGTTTTAATTAATCTTTTCGTATATCTTATTCTGTATCTTAACACTTAAAATCTGCCAATGCTTCTTTGATATCTGCAATTAGCTCCTTGTAATCTGTTGCATTTTCTTCAATTATTTGCTGTAATTTTTCAATATATGTATCCATGGAATCAAAGGTGAGCTTCACACCAATGTCTGGCACCTGGACATGGGACAGTGAGGCGATAAAACGCGTCTGCACCACGGCAAGTTTGGTTTCCACAACGCCTGTCCTGTGTCGGTCACTTGCCGTCTCCTCCTTACAAACTGTCAAGCGTTGTTCCAGTTTGCTAATCTCTGAGTCAAGCTCCTTATTGAGTTTCTCGCATTCCTCGTTAGACGACTGAAGCACGTCGATCTCCTTATCCAAGGCGCGCACTTTTTCAATTTCTTGTTGAGCTGGTGTGGTAAAAGCAGCACCAAGCAAGAAGGTTTTTTTTTTTTTCGGATTTCGATCAAAAAAATGACGCTACTCCCTGTCTTACTTGTCTACTTTGCTTGTCTGTTTGTTTGAATTTTTTTGACCAAGCAAACTGTCTGTCTCGCCTGTTTGTAAACTGACCTTTGAGGCTCCTTCCTACAAACTGAATGACTGGAGACTCTACGTAAGCAAAACTTCGATTGCCTGGCTCTCTCTGATCCAAGCAGGTACTAAGTCGATGCGTTTACCAAATGCCGGTCATTTCTGACTTGTAGTTTAACAACACGTAACATACAAAACATTCGAACCTGCGCGTGAACTCCTACAATTTGAAAGACGAAATCTAATAACCCTGGCTTATTTTATTCGTCCGAATTCACATGAAAGATTTCCTCAACGTCTCGGCCACTATTCTTGGTCTTTGACACATTTCGACAGGAAATGTCTACACAAAGTTTAAATCCTCGATACGAGTTCTTCAGATTATTGTGTCAAGGAAAATTGAAACCAGCCACATCTTGCAAATTTCCCTCGCTCGTAACAACATGTGGCTTCGTGGCTCAGTTGTTAGTGGCGCCCAACTTGTATCTGGGAGGCCTGGGTTCAAACCCAGTCGAAGCCTGAATTTTTTCTAACTTCTTCACAGGAATTTCTTTCATAGCAACTCAACTGCGAGGATAATTTCTTTACTACTAAAGGGTCTTGGCCGACATCCTTTGTCGAATGCTGTTCCACAGACTGTAAACCCATAAGTGGGGATCAATTATAATCCTTATTTCAGCATTCAGCCACGGGTCGATGATGAGAGAGGATCTATCGTTTAAACGCTATCATTCTACCTGACTCTGACTACGTACATAAAGTATTACTATGCCTTCTCAGCATTACCTTTGCCCGATCGGATTTTAACCAGCTTGACATCTGGAGACCTGGCGCTTGCCTGAGCCAACAATTTGGACTCTGCTTCCTGTCTCATGAGGACTTTCTTCTCCGAAGGAGAAACCAGAGGGCAGCCTGATAAACTGAAGAAACAGATAAGGGAGTTACATTTGTTTGTAGGGAAACTATTGTCTTGTTAACTCACCACGGAGTTCCTTGTACCTCGGTGGTAAAGCATCAGAGCTTGGAATCCAGAGGTCTGAGGTTCGAATACTCGCGGGGACTCGGAAAGAGCTGATCTGAACAGACTAATCCCCCCCCCACCCCTAAACTACATAAACTTTAAGGAGACGACGAGATGAACAAAAGAAACGAGAACTTCTCTTACCTCCTGTGGGTACTAAATTGACCGCTAGAATGTCCTGTCCCGTCACATCCGGGAGTAGGACACCTAATGGAAAAAGAACACACACCACACTTCTTAAACTCCTTTCTAAGAAATTTATCAAATACAACTAATTTTCAGTTCCTTACATATTAAGTCAGCCTCTAGGCAAAACAGAACACGTTATTCTAATTTTTTCAACATTCTCAATACGGTCAGCGATGAAAATCTAAAGACCGAATTTTGGAATGTAATTTCTATTCTAATTCTATTATTTTCATTCAAAATCTTTCTTTGGTGTTTCATGCAGGTAGAAGGATCTGGATATTCATCTGGATAAAACAAAAACAAAAAAAAAACCCATACAATTACTTACATAGGACCGACTTTATCCGACTGCGGACTCCCTAGGAAATGAAAAGAAGAAAAAGACTGATTACTAATTACTAATTACTATTACTGATTAATAATAGCATATATTCACATTGACAGAACACTGCCGATTCCCGATCCTCATCCCAAGACAGAGGTCTTAAATATTAGCGATTTAAGGAACAGATTTATGGATTGAAGACGATGCTTACCTTCAGCATTTTGAAGAGCAAGCTTAGGAGCCAGGGGACAACCTGACAAACTACCAAAGAAAAAAGAACATTTAACCCACAAAAAACCCAAGAGAGTGACAAACATCTAATTTCTCCATACAGTACCTACCCTGAATCAAACATTGAGATCATGAGAAGAAAAGACATGATCGCAAATTGAAGCAGCTCTTGATTGATAAAAAAATTTCGTTCCTAGCATATTAGGAAGTGTAAAGAGAACAGTGTGGAGAACATACCTATAGAAGTTTGGAGTTTAACCCTTTAACTCCCAGAAGTGATTAACAAGTAACCTCTCAATACAATACCCATGCACTATCCAGCAAACAGGTAATGAGAGTACTCAAATGCATCAGGTAGAAGTTGTTATCTTGATCTAACACCACATTCTCGCAACTTGTTTACAAGGAAATGTGTAGCAGCAAGAGGGGAGAATTAACAATCCGATCTTGGGAGTTAAAGGGTTAATTTACCATGAGCTCAGAGTGGAGCAAGTAGAAAGCAGGAGTTATGACTTAAAAACGAGTTGTAACTCCTCCCTTGCGAGTCGTATCCACTAAGAACACTTCTTGATTGCGTGTTGTAACATCAAAACTAAAGAAATCACAGCGGTTCGTGAAAACAAGAATGAAAATCAGTAGGAGCCAATGAAGACTCAAGAGTTAACCCTTTAACCCCCAAGATCCCATTAGTAATTCTCCTTACTGTCTGCCATCCAGTTCTTGTGATGTTAGTTTGGAGAATTTAGTATTAGATCAACTTATAATACTCTAAATGATATTTTTCTTTATTCTCATCACTTGTCTACTTGATAATGTATTGATATTGTAAGGAGAAATTCTGTCTTGGTCTCTTATGGGAGTTAAAGAGTTAACAGAAGAGGCAGGGAAAAGCGCGGGATTGGACCAAGTTTCTCGACCAATCAAATCAGTGCATTTCCTTACAATATCGCCCCTTTAACGCACCTTCTGTGTGAAGCATACTTCCCAGTCACATGACCTGTTCCATCACAACCAATGGTAGGGCACCTAGGAAAAGAAGTGATACTGGTTTTTAATACCATACTGAACACGCAAAAACAGAAATCAACTCAAAATACTCACTGCGCAATGATCTTAACACATACATGTACCTAACTTCTTGGTGTTCCTGTTGCTGCATTTTGGCTGCAAGTGGACACCCTGACAAACTGAGATACAAGACAAAAATCATTCGTTGGGAACCCTGCATCTGCAATCTTATTCCTCTCCCCGCTTAAATCTGTCAGGATTTCTCCTCGCCGCTTTCCTTACACATTTCTCCTCTGTGTTCATTTTGATATTTTTGGCTTTTAGATCAAAGAAGAAAATTTCCAAAGGCAAGAAGAGTACTTGTCGTTGGTCAAACTTTGTATTTGCAATGGGATAAATCAACTAAACGCCAGAGGAGATCAAAGCCTGTGGCAGGTTTTCATACCACTGTATAGAGGGTTGTGTGTGTGGGAAAATTTAAAAGTAGAACATCTCAGCGAAGTTCTTCGTCCAATATTTCCGGGTCGATAATTCTAAAAAGTTGGTTTATGGTAGAATAATGGAGAACTCGGAGGGAAACCATCGGAGAAAGGACACGAAGTAATAACAAGCTCAACCCACACGTGACAACAAGTTTCGAAATGAAACCACTGAAGTTCTCAGAGGTAGGAACAGAGCACTGTCGCTGCTGGTGTGATCCCAACTCCTTCTATTGAAGGGCAGGTAGTAGGTGTACAACCTTGCAGTTTGGCAAGGAGTTCCCAAGGCCTAAAACTTCGCTGACATACCTCCTGTGCGTTGCATACTGCCCTGACACATGTCCCCTTCCATCACAGTTTGGAGTTGGACAACTAAGTATAAAAGGAAAAAGGAAAAAAAATTCGACATCTTGTAGCAACAATGAAAAACAAGGCCAACATTTGTAATCACAACTATAGCACTAAATTTAAATACGGGATAGAAATGACCCTGCAAAAGCAAACGCCCCTTTCTATTATTGCTTTAATCACGAAATGTTCTCCTAAAAAACCGAAGCACTCTGTAAGACAAACAAACTGAACTAATCACTCACCTGAGAAGTTCTTTAGGTTTCCCATCCGATCCTGCAGATAACAAAAACGCTTCTTCATTAATTTCCACGCAAAAATGTTCTTACCGTGAATAATTGCATGTCTTATTGAAAAGTCTGCAGATGCCTTAGATGCAAGACTAATACAAAACATGAATTTAACAGATCAGCGCGGAAGGATCAAGTACATCGAGATGGTAAGGGCAGGGAAATTTTCCCGCCTTTCTGTTGCCTACCGCGATTTTTCGCGTGCCACCCAAATACAAAAAGGTGTACACGGAGCGATCCAGCGCCTGCTGGTAGAAATAAAACTTGAGAAGTGTTAAAGGATAAAAGAAAATATCACACAACTCACCAAATTCGCGTTTAACAGGGGTTTTCGGAAGAGGCATGTTCCTCACCACTCTTGGACAACCAGAGAGACGGCGGTGACTGGAAAAACGGCCATTCACATGTCCTGATCCGTCACAACCCTCTGTTGGACAACTGGGTGAAACCAAAGAGCGAAAGACACCGTATTTGAACAGATTATAAGAAATAACCTCTGTGTCTACTCAAAGTATTGCACTCAAAACATTTTTGCATGGAGATAAAGAGGGACAATTTCAAAATGTCTCACAACGCTGGCGGCTACACATGAAAAGTGATACAATATACATACCCAATCAACTTGGAAGCACCTATGGAAGAGACAAAAGCAACACAATAAGGTTTACCGGTAAGTGAATCATAAGACAATCTTAACAGACGATTCGATGGGGCTTAAGACTCCCTCGTAACGACTACAAAGAGAGACAAAAACTTGTGACGCGTTGTCAGTGGGAGTTATACTAAAGCAGTGTCTTGACCGTGTCGTAGTATTGCATCCGAATGGTTAACAGAGCGGCTAGACCTTCTGAGGCAATATCATGAAGAGATGGTGAACGAAACGAAATATACATCTGGATTGCTTACACTCAAGTGGAAGTGCCTTTCAAGTGACATGCATCCTGCACACTGTTATGATAAGCAAAGTCGATACCTTCAACTTTGTTACAGAGATTACAAGTTTATTTTTAAAATCATTTCCTGACACTTACTTCTCCCTCCTCCATAATCAGAGTCATCAGCATCCTCTCTGATGTCATCATCTTCCTCAGAAGAACTCTCTGAAGAAGTGTACTGGACAACTTCTTTAGCCTCCAAGCATATCTCATCAGAACTTAACTCCTCCTCTTCCTCCTCCTCATCATCATCATCACCATTAGCTGCATCAACTGGCCCTTTCGTAATTCCATATTCAGATTCCTCTGTTGCACACTCCATTGAGGACACTTCCTTGGAGATGGGAGCCCGCTCAACACGCATGACCGAGTTTGCCACAGCCACAGCAGTTGTTGCTGAGATCACACTCGGCATAGACAATGCTGGGAGGGAATCAGTGGGAGTGGTCACAGATGGGGACTCAGATTTCATTCTGGGAGGCTTACTCTTGGGAAATGTAAAATGTACAGGTGAATCTTTGGTGTCTGAATCAAAATTCAGTTCTTTCTTGACTGAGCTATCTTCAGTGCTGGATGCAGAAGAAATGCCTGAGTCTGGAGATGTGGGACTTTCTTGAGGTAATGTCTTGTCTGTAAGAATGCATTTTTGTGGGCGGCCTGAAATAAAGTCAAACTAGCTCATTTCACAGAGAATCTTGCTAGATGTTGTTGCTACACCCCAGAGTGACATGTTTCCACCTTCTCCAAATTTTACTTTTCTTAGTCTTTCATTGTCAAAAGCCGAATGTTGATTATCTGTCTTAGACAACAACATATCTCCTTGCATGCTGATTATAAGACTTTGGAGTCATTTCAATTTTCGTAAAATTTTGTTCATTTGTCTAATTCTTATCTTTCCTACATCTACATATACTGCGATTATCTTTCATAGAAGACTTTAAATGTACATTTTTGTAGAAATTACAGGCATAATGACAGAAAACCTAAATGAATACTAGGGAGGTAAAAAAATAATCATATCAATCATTTTCCAAGATCCAGTTGATAATTCTCCCTACTAGCTGCTATACATGTTCTAATAAATAACTCAAGAGAATATGGTGCTGTATCAGGATAACAACCTCTAGCTATATGTGTATTCTGGTTACTTGTTTTTTTGGGCAATGTGCAGAAATTGTGAGGATCACTTCAATCACCTCTGAGAGTAAAAGGGTTTATTAGTAACACACAAGTTATTTGCTGAGAGTTTAGTATTTACAGCCATGTTGTGGCTCAGTGAAATACTTACTCTTCTTGTGTGGTGGAGTATTTGGTGGACTTCTGCACTGACGAGAAACCTGCTTCTGGGCTGTGGCTAGGGGACAACCTGAAAGACTACAATTTACATTGCCAGGGTTATGTTAGTTCAGAAAAGAGTAAATTATACTACAATCAGTAACAAGACAAGGGAAAGGGTAAGGGGAGGAGGTTTTTCCTCAAAAACTTATTGGAAATGAGGTTCTTCCTAGAGGGTTATGTTTCCTAAATTCATAATGAATCCTACTCTTAATAGAATATAATCCACTCCATTCTTCAAAACAACAAATAACAGGAAAAGAATCCAAATATGACAGAAAAAATTAAAAGAAATTCTGCATGTAGCTTGAAACATCCCTTTAATAAAAAATGTATAGAATCAGAGCAGAATTGATAAAAATTCACAAATTAAAAAAAAAATATCTTTGGGAAATGAAGGTTGTAAGAACATCAGTGACCAACTTGGCTGCACCATTTGTGATCTATTACTGAACAGACACACAGTACAAGGAATCTATTTGTTAACCCTTTCACCCCTAATAGTGACTGGCATCTAATTTCTCCTCTTAAGATCACCCCTGAATCACACATTAAGGTCATGAGGATAAAGGAAATGATCACCAACTAAAGAAGTTCTTGACTGTTCAACAAATTCTCCTTTTCAGCACCTCAAGAAATGTATAATGAACAGTATGGAGAATATACATAGTGATATTAGGGTGTAAAGGATTAACTGGACCAAATCACAACTGTCAACCCTACCTTCTGTGTGATGTGTACAACCCTGTTCTGTGTCCAGTACCATCACATCCTGGAGTTGGACATCTATAGAAATATTTAATAAAGAAATTCATATTAAAGAAAAGAGTAAAAAACAATAAAACAAAAATACCTCAATAAATCAATGATTAAATAAATGAGCAATTAACATATAGTAAAATGAATAATGACTGAAGAAAAGCTACTTTGAACTAAAAGTTTGCAACTCTACTCTAAGAAAAAATCCTACATGTACCTTGCTCCATTGTCATCTCCTGAAGCTTTACCTGGGAATAAAAGAAAAAAAAAAAGAAAAATCAACAAAATTGTACTTGTACAATGCATTCTAGTGCATTTGTTGCAGAATCCATTTCTATTTTCCAGATGGCACAGTACAGACTCAATCATCTTCTTTAAAAGCTCAGAATGTTTCAAATACCATCAAACAGTTTTAAGCTCATTCTAATTTCCTCATTCTTGTTCAAACACCTTGAACCATATAACATTGATATGTGCATAACAACAGTGTTAACCATGTGGTCTCCTAAATCTACATATAAATTCTCTGCACTGTCTGGTATACGTTTTTAATGGTGTTTGAGAAAAATTCCCTTCACTGGTGTTTTGGTAATTGTGGAGAACAGCTCTCCTCTACTGATCTGTCTGTTGGTGGAAAGTTGGCCAACAGACATCTGACAGCCCACTGACATATAATGAACAAGCTGGCAACAGGTTACCAGTTGGCTTTACAAGAATAACACATTTTTTCAGGAAGTTGTTCATCACAATTACCAATAGTTTTCTTTTTTCTCAATGTCTTTCTGGATGAAAATGTACTTATACCGCTGGGAGAAATTCCTATTTAGTCACTCCTGAGGTTGAAAGGGTTAATAGACAAGTATGCGTGAGTGACCAAGAGAGAATTTCTCCTTACAATAGCAAAACAATATCAACCGGATAAGTGTTGAGAGTAAAGAAAAATATCAATTTGGGGATAATTAGTTGATCCAATACTGAATTCTCTGAACTAACATTACAGGAATTGTATGGTTGACAGTAAGGATAATTACAAATTTGATCTGGGACTTAAAGGGTTAAAAAGAATGTAAGAACATCTTTTATTTACCATCTTTGCTTTTCTCCACAGAAACTCTCCTTGGGCATCCATAGAGACTGCAAACCATAAGATTCAGTGACAAATGGTGTTAACTATTTTTGAGCCTTTGACTTGAAGTGACAATGTTTTGAGTGATACAAGATAGTATTCCTTGCACATAGTTGATCATTTAGGTCTGTACATACAAGAACATGGTCTTAAAATATCTTTTGATTATTATTTAAGTCCCTTAGTAGTTAAAGTTCCACTACACCCTTAAAATGCAAGGTCATCAGACTTGTTTGTAAAAACATAGCAGAAAATTTGCACTCAAACACATCTCAAGTATATTAAAAAAAAAGCAGCCATGTCTTGATGTGCATGCATTATAATTAAATGACTGTAAAATTGTGCATTTGATACTGACCTTCTGTGGGAGGCAAATAATCCAGATTTATGTCCTGAACCATCACAACCTGGAGTAGGACACCTGTAATTTGCAAACACAAAAATAGATCAAGAGACAATGAATACAAGAAAGACCTGTGAGACCTGTGGCAAGTATAGTCTTTGCACTGAATCTCAGAGAGGTTAATTGGCACATGAAAGCTTCCTATAATTGTTATTTTCAATTCATCTCAAGCACAGTGAACCATTTATGGAAACAGTATGTAAATCAGTGTCCATGTTGATAATAAATTGTTATTTATACAAGGTTACAGACTTTCAAATGACCAAACCCTTCACTACTTAAAAAAAAACATATTTATTTCTTCACCTTGATGTTTCTGAAGTTGCATCAGCATCCTTGTCTGTTATTTTAAAATAAAGAACACAAACATGTGAGTACTATAACATGCACTGATATTTTGCATACAAATGCATAGAGTAACCAAAACAAACAAAAAACCAATTGAAAAGAGAAGTTAATATTAATAGTTTCTTCAGCCATTCAGGCTGTTTTGTTGCCTTGTTGTTAGCAAGTGAAAAGTAAGTGCTTTACTTGATCTCTCAATTACTAACCCTTGACATCATAACATCAGTATGCAAACTCTCCATACCAATCTCTATACATTTGTTAAGATGTTGACGAGGAGAAAATTCCTTTATTCTCATGACCCTAGTGTGTGATTTGCGGGTGATATTGTAAGGAGAACTTAGAGACTAGTCACTCTTAGGAATCAAATGGCTAACCATGCAGTGCAAGTAAAATTCTCATGCATGGTTCACTGAACATTCAAGCTGTTTTTTGTTGTTTAACCCTTTAACTCCCAAGATCTCACTAATAATGCTCCTAACTGTCTGCCATACAATTCATATGATTCTAATTTGGAGAATTTAGTATTAGATCAACCAATAATCTCCTAATTGATATTTTTCTTTATTCTCATTACTTGTCCACTTGATATTGTACTGATAGTGTAAGGAGAAATTCTGTCTTGGTCACCAGTGGGACTTAAAGGGTTAAGTCTCTTGTTTTTATCACTGATCATCACCTTAACCATTCACACACAAAAATGATATAAAAAAAATATATCGGATTTCACATCTTCTCTGGCCAGCCCTAAAGATCCTAGGCCCAGTTGTTCAAAGGCCACTTAGCCCTAACCCAGGGTTAAATTTTAATTCAGGTTTCTTTATTTCTTTGCTCAAAAGTCTTTTAGGGAAAATTTTCACTATTCTTTTTAGAACATCCAATATCAAATTGCAAGCAAAAAGATTTGAACGGAATTTTCTCTTAAAGCTTTCAGACCTGAAATCAAATTTCACACTAACCCTGGGTTACCTTTACCCAGCTTTGAACAACCTGGGCCTGGTTTTTCCTGCTTCTATTTGCAAGTTGTGAGCATGGCATAAATCAAAGGGGAAGATATCTCTCGATCTGTAACTTAAAACTTACAGACCTTAAACTTACTAAATAAGAAGTAGGCAGCAGTTCATTGCAGCCTTTACAAAATTGTAATTTAAAATCAAGCAGGAATTTTAAAAGCAGTTAACAATTAAGTATAGATACCTCCACTGTCAAATCTTGAAAATCTTCTACTGGTTTTCTGTACATATGGGCAGCCATAGACACTAAAATAAAACAAGAAGAACTCAGTTACATGTTCAACTCTGTTACTGCTTCAGTTGCTTGGATTTTCTATCTTGATTTTCTATCAAAGTAGCTACTACTTTGTAGTCTTAACCCTTTACATGAAACTTCTTCCTATAACATCCATACATTACCCAGCAAACAGGTAATGAGAATACTCTAATTTATCAGGTAGAGTTGTTACCTTGATCTATACCAAATTCTCCTAGCTAACTTACATGAAAATACCTCACCATGAGAGGTGAGAATTAACAATCAGGCCCCAGTTGTTCAAAAGTTGGGTAGCACTATCCATTGGATAAAACTCTATCTGATGAATAACGCTATATAATTTGCTATCACTTGTCTGCTAAATAGTGATTTATCCGTTGGATAGAGTTATCCGCCCTTTATACAACTGGGCCCAGATCTTTTAAGTCAGATAATGGTAGTTTTACATAGCCACAAGAAATGACTTTTGTCATAGTGATATAGCTTCTTTGATAATGCTCAAACATCCAGGCCTCTAACATAATAATCTTTTATCATCAGATCATGTTCAGTCTAAAGCAGGTGTTTTCACGGGAAAATAACTGACTCAACTTCAACTTAAAAATGGATTCTCTATGACCATTTAAAAATATGAATGTTAATCTCTAAATTATTTTCTTTCTTCTTTTGTGGAAAAGACAGCATTGCACTTGCCCCCTGTACTCATATGAAAACTAGGTACATAATGTTAAGGGCCTTTTTGCAAGACATTGAGACCTCTGTTTGAAAATACCAGACCCAGACAAAACAATTTTAATTAATATTCAACTTCTCTTTTTGGCCCTTCTTCCATATCTTTATGCTCCTTTGTGATATATAGAACCAATTTCTGCATAACAAGCATATCTTGGAGAAACAATCTGAAAAATAATTAATTAATTCTATCTCTAACCTTCGGTGTGATGCAAACTTTCCATTAACATGTCCTTTTCCATCACATCCCGGCGTAGGACACCTGGTGTTAAAAATGTAGACAAGCAAAAATGTTGACATTATATTTTAAAACTAGTCAAATGTTCACTTAAAGGACACCAGTATACTAGAATTGTTCAAGCCTAGTTACTGCAGACATTAAGAGCATGAAGAGGACAAGAACTTACAAATATATCAATGTTTAAATGTATACTGGATCTTTAAAAAATTCACAAACCTAACAATTAATTAACACACTTTTTGAGGAAAGACATCGTGTTTTGTATAATACTAAGATGAAAATTCACAAATAAAACTCTTTACTCTCTAAATCTTGTCCAAAATTCCATCCAAGTCTTTTCGTCCCAATTATCATAACTCATTCTGATAATCCTGTTTGGTTTTACTGAGTCAAAATATTGAACAGGCTTCGAAACATCTTGTTAACAAGAAAAACAGAATGTATAGTTAACAAACTGGACAATTTAAGTGGGCTCACAGTTATTTAAAAGTGACTTGATCCAGTTAACATGCAGCTGTCACTTGCTTACATAATGATGCTTCTATTATCAGGGAAGGAAAAATTTTGTATCTGTAATTCATTGATCCTTAGATAAAAGTAATAATTAGCAGACTGAGAAAAATAACATCAGTATATTGAGTGAGTTATGAATCTTTTACAAAGGAAAGAAAAAATCTCTTAAAGCCTCACAGAAATTCTAAATGAATAGAAGCAGATGTCATCAATGACAGCTTAATAATTTGTCACAGCACTAAATATTGAAATTAATCATTATTCAAAATGTGACTATCTAACTTGACATGAGCCAAATTTCATTTGCATGACAAAAATGGTGTGAGAGGAAATTGTCTTTGATGTTCCTATGATGTAAATTAAAGTGATCATCTTCTTGGGACCATACATTCAAAACCATAACAGGTCAATATTAACTTTAACTACATGTATTGAGGAGAAATTAAAGAAAAACGTTGACACTTGTGAATAAAGTTTACTTTTGTAAAGATGATTTTAAAATATTGTCAAAATTATGCCTGTAGTTTAGGACCAGGTATGTAAACTTGATGAATATATAAAATGCTTAAATTAAAAAATCATTTAGTATATATAACTGTATGGGTTTGAGAGCAACTTATGAATAATTCCACAATTATTTTCAGAGTTTTCACATGATTCCCTGAGTTACAATGATAGTACATCAAACTCACAAGCTTTATGTCTCTGGACTTTTAATTTTCAAACATTTTAAAAATCCCATTGAACACAAGAAACAAACAAGTAATCATGTCCTCCTGATCACCAAAATTGCTAAAGAAATGCTCTTTGTTTCAGCCAATCAGCATTACATAGTTTTGCCCCATACAGTGTACAGTATTTGATAAAAAGTAAAATGAAATCCTCATTTTGCCTGTGGGAGTGCATGTGTAGTAATATTGGCACTTAAAAATTAGGTGGAACTTTTTAAAGGGTCTGACCCTCACAATAAAATTGACTACTCAATAAAAAATTGTAAAAGTAGCAAGCTCAATTAAAACTAATAACCATTTATCCCTCTAATTTTTGTGAATGACCAAAACAGAATTTCTGGTAAAAATATCAATACAATATCAAGCAGCCAAGTAAAAGAAAAATATAACCAAGAGGATTATAAAATGATCCAATACCAGATTCTCCAAACTAACTAGGGAGTGGAAGGGTGAAAGATAAAATCTCTACATCTTCAGTAGCTAGATAGATGCAGTTTACTAGAATCGTAAAAAATATTTTTATTCTTGAATTTACTGTCATGAATAATGTTACTACCAACACCAGTCCATACCTTGAGAAAGAGGCTAAACGGGCTTGGCTGGGTGAGGTATTAGTTATTAACCCTTAAACTACCATGAGTGACCAAGACAGAATTTCTCCTTTCAATACCAGTACAATATCAAACAGACAAGTAATGAGAATAAAGAAAATAATCAATATGGAGATTATGAGTTACAGATCCAATACCAAATTCTCCAAACTAACATCATAAGAATTGTATAGCAGGACATCAGGGGTGACCAAAGGGAAATTTCTCCTTCAAAAATATCATCTTGTTTTCAAGCAGATTGGTCAATAGAAAAGAAAGAAAAGCATCACTTAAGAGATATTGTTTCATACAACACTACATAATCAGTGATTATTTAAGTCACAATAAATACATGATGAAGAGAGTGCACAATCAATATTTAAAAGTTGGAGGTGAAGATAAGGTAAAGATAAATCTATTAACCCTTGACATCCTAACATCAGTAAATATATTCTCCATAATGTTCACCATACATTTCCTAAGGCACTGTCGAGGTGAATTTGTTGAACAATCAAGAGCTTCTTTAGTTGGTGATCAATTCCTTTATTCTTGTGACCTTAGTGTTTGATTCAAGGGTGATACACCCTGGAGAAATTAGTTGCCAATCACTCTTAGGGGTTAAAGGGTTAAAACACAGGAAAAGAGAAAGAAAAAAACGCCATATGCTACTATCTACAGTAGCACCAGGCTTTTAACTACCTTGGAGCTGGAATAGCATATTGGTGGGGCACTTACCCAATAAGTTCTTGAATGGATGCTAAATGTGAAAAAAAGAAAAAGACAATGAAAACAGCTTATGATTTTTAGCTTGCTAGTACTATCCTTTTAAAATGATATGTAAATTATAACGTCAAATAAGAGTGTTTTTGCTATCCTTTGTGAGGCACTAATTCAGTCATGGATATTCAGTAAGTTACCATCTACAACTTGGGAATAGCGGACTTGAAAATTATCCTTATGCCTCTTCTGTAAATAACCCTCAATTTTAGTTTGCTAGCACCCTCCAGTGAGATGAGTTAAATTCCTTCCCAACTAACTTAGCTTACAATAAGTTTTCTGCTTAGCCTTGGCCTATTTCAAGCAACCCTAAAAACAAAGATTCTTTGTGAAAACACAGCCCATACATTTACAATAGCAAATCTAAGGAAAAAAATTGAAAAACAAAGTTATATTTTTCTGAAGAATTTTTAATTGATACTATAACATTACTCCTCACCAGCCATTCCAAGCCCTCTGCATTGTCTTTTCATGTCTCTAACACTACCTGAAGGCTTGTCAAGATCTGACAGAAAATTCTGTCTTGTTGCGTGAACCTGAAAGAAGAGTCAATCTTTAATACATAGATATTAACCGCAACAAAAAACAACCTATGAAGGTAAAGTTTGCACTGAGCCAGATGGGTGCTCCAAATGTGGAAATTTATACCAGATTTGCAGCTCTCCTTCTTCAAATACCAGCCAGTCAAAGGGAACTGTATCCTTAATTTTTACAGTAACATGTGTCCATTCCATCAGTCTTCTCTCAATGAAACATAGAGTTCTCTCTGTCTCCCTAGCTCAGTGGTAGAGAATTACAAGTGTTAAGTCTGAAGGTCTTGAATTTAATTTCTCCAAGTGGACTGAAACATTTTTTATCTAATTCTTGAGACCAGATAGACATCATCTTTCTTCATCACCATAAAAGTTCTAGCTCTCCAGATAGTTCTCTGTAGTTCAGTGGTTCAGTGCTGAATACAAAGATCTAGAGGTCAGTTCCTTGTGAAGGACTCAGATCTTTAATTATCCGATGAAGAAGTCAAAACAAAAAACCATTTATCTCTACCATTGTAAAGTTTCTTGCATGACAACACCCTAAAATCACCCCAGAAAGGTGTGAACTTACATTGTAATGTCATGAACAGATTATGCTAACCATTGAGCCACCTCAAATACTACAATAAAAATCTCTAAATATTATATCTTACCCTTTTTCTTGTTGTATCTGCACCAACAACAAAACTTTCTTTTTCCATACATTCCTCACTACAGTAGAGTTTTTCATTATTAACAAACTCTTCACTGTATATTTCTTCCCCACAGGTATGACAGCTTAGTGCTGGTGCTGTTTCTTCATGCTTCTGACTCAAGTCTCTTACTATGTCATCTGATGCAAATGTCTCCTCTTCACCAGACTCTACACCGTTGACTGGGATGACTTCAGCGAGTGGTATTTTAATACAAAGCTTGGGAACTTTTCGTGCCTTTTCAAAATCCTATTCATATAAAAAATTGTTGTTAAGTAAACATGGTATGTTTACTTAATAAATCATCATCCCACAGTAAACATTGTGCACATCTTACCACAAAAATGTGTCAAAAATACCAGAATGAGACTGTAAATGAAATTATAAAACTGTTTCTGTTCTATTTTTAACATTTCCTTGTTCTTTAGAAAAAGAACCCACAAAAATTTGCTCTGTGTATAACATGAGACCCTTTGGCTAAATTGCAAGTAACTAACAACTAGGAAGGTAAAGGTTTGCATTTTTCCAAGCATATTTTTCTTCATTTGCAGTTCATCTGTCAGGATTACCTCATTATTTTTCACCACTCATGAGTCACATACTTTTTATTTCATTTAGTTGCGATCAATATGAACTAACTAGCTTTTGAACTACCTAAAATCTACCAATCTTCCTTGAAAAACAATCACAAGTTTGAAATAAGGATGCTTCTCTGGGACACTATGTATAAAATTTACTGAAACTGCCATAATCTAACATTGTCTTGAAACTGCTCAGGAGGATCAAAGATAGAATTCCTGAGTGAAGATTTGTAATATTCCACAAGCCTGCTCCATTGTTAAAATAAGTTAGTGGTCAGTGGTGGCAAAATCAATCAATCAGTGGGAAGAGCTGGAAATTTTGTTTTCATATTCAAGGTGTTGTAAAAAAAAGATACGATATTTACTTGCTGGCTGGCAAAATTGAGTGTTGTTTACCCATCAGTGAGATGGAATTTCCAAATTTTAGTCATACACACAAGAACTGGTTAGTGCCACATAAAAAGACACATTTAACACACACTCTTGATCTTCACTATGCAATACCTTCCTAACAAAAGATGCACTTGACAAACTCTTATGAGCTATCAATATATGTAAATTTGCATCCTTTTGCATAAAATTAAAAAATTTCTGCTAACAGATTTTTATGCTTCTGCAGTGATGACAGAAAAAATATTCAAAGTTATAAAAGCCCCAGCTTGGAATGAAAGGCTGGGGGTCAGATTTGATCCAGTTTCAATAACTTTCTATCAATTTGTTATGACATTAAATGTGACAGATAAGGAGTCCAAGAGATGATCATGTGCCAAAATTTCACACCCAAGGATTTAAAAATACATTTTGCCTCACAGGCACAGAAGTAAAATGTTCTTACAATACAAAAGTAAACAAGTTGGAGGCCTTGGGTCTTTGAAGTTCAAAACTCCCCTTATGAATACATGACACAAAAAGTTACTACATAATGGTGTAATTTAAACATATATTATTTCCATCTGCAAATAATATCACCCAGAGTATTCACAGGATTCTTTTCATATCTGTCTTCTAATTATTTGAAATTCCTAGCTTTTCTCGAATTTTCTTCGAACTGCAGGACACCCAAAGAAACTATTTCATCAAAAAGCTCTGTAAATGTACTTGGTAAAGACAAAAGAATTGCTACTGACATTTATCATTTAACTGTGATACGTCAATAGTAGCCAAAATCAACCATTACCGCGACACAGCACTTGAAAACAAATAGCAAACCGTAAGGAAAATGAAGCTTGCAAACGCCAAGTAAAACTTAGCGTCATTTTAAAATCTCCTCAGCATACATTCAGGTTAGGAGGGTTGGATTTCGAGAATTTAAACCGATATTCGAGACAAGTTTCTAAACACTGAGAACTGTAGATTTAAAAACAGCAAAGAGACCATCTGTGCATAACAATGAGGAGCCAATTACTCTCAAAATGTCCTTTTTCTTTCCAAAACTTGGGCAAAGGAGACCATTTTTCGACATTCTTGAGGCAATATGATCGCCCTGATAAATCGCTACGGTTTCGTAAATTCTTTAGGCAACTTCCGATCCATCTAAGTATTTCGATCCTTTGTAATAGGCGAAAACAACTGCGAATGTTTACTTATTTAAATGTAAGTTTTAATCGCTGCAAAAAAAATCCCCACTGATTTACAACCAGTGAAGAAAGGCTACCAGGCTGAACTAAAACAAAATTTAATCGATCCTAATCAATAAATTCTCTAAGCAGACTCTCTGCGATAAGCTTTACTAGATAGTTTAGTGAGGAAATAAACACAGACCAAGACAATTTCTTCGAGAAAGTACAAGTCAAAATTAACATATCTTGCGAGCATTGAAAAGATAGTTTCTATAGATCTGTAGAACGTCCTTTTGCCTGCGATCTTGAGGAAACTTTGAAAGGATGTTTGACAATTTTAGACCCCGACACGAAACGAACTTTGATCAGATTCCAAGCTTTGCGAACAAAACCAAAAATTTCTAATTCGGAAAAAGTTTTCGAAGAGCGTCTGAATGAATGAAGAAAAAAATATGCAAATTAGTTAGTGCTGTACAAAAAGTTTTGAAATCGTGGCAGACTCGGGAAGATTCCTCGATGGCCGGCTAAACGAACCAAACCGCCCGAAAACAGTAGATAAACAAAATTAACTACCCACATCTCGGCGAGAAAAAAATTTATCGGTAGCGAAAGAGATGGGTGCTGTTACGATTTCCAGTGGTTAGAACGAATCTACAAAAGGAACGCTGGAAACGACAACCAAACGCGCTATCAAGTTTCCATATTCCGTGCACACTGAAAAATTATTTTGAAACTTTTCAAGAACAAAAAACGTAAATTTACGCTAACTACTTCCTAAATGTGTAAAAAACTATGCCTGATCTGCTCCCATACTTACCAAATCGAAGGATATTGAGTCTCTTTTAATTCCTGCGCCAGGAGTTTGCTGCCCATCTTGCTCAAGTCCAAATTCTCCGTTCGCATCAGGCGGTACTTCCATAACTCGTTCTCTGCTGCGAAAGATCTACCCTTTGTAGCCCTGTGCAAAAAATCCTTCGCCTTGAACTATTCCTGAAAAAAAACCAATTGTTTCCAAATGTGCGAGCAGTCGACTGAAACGAAAGTTAAACTAACAATATTTACGCACGACCGAATAAAGCATAATCCACAAAGTCAAAATACAAAATTTTCCTCGACAGAAAATATTTGATGACTCGGCTTAACATCACACACGATTTCCCAAACAAAGCGAACATAGAAGGCCAGCACAAGAAGAAATTTAACTTACTACTTCCTAAAGACGAACAACCGAGTAGGGCGAAAAAATTATTAAAAATTCCTACTCCCGGTGAGATAAATTTTATCAAAGGTTCCACACAGATATTTAATTCCGATGAAATTACTCCAACTGACAGAACTCGCTCGACACTTCGTCCGCGCGAGCGGAAAGAAACTAGTTTTACCTCTTCGTTCCTGCAGCTGAAACTATTATGTGCATCGGCGAACAACATCTAAACATTTACATGGGTTTTACAGCTATTTAAATATATCAACAGGGGGAAAGCATAAATTTAAAACTGCTCGAAGTCGATAAAGAGAACCACAACAATCCATAAATTTCTCACAAGTTCAGGTTACCTTACTGAGGAAAACTTTTCGATATCTGCAACTCTTTCTGAGACAAATCGCACCCAGGAAAGAAAGAAATTCCCTTTCGCTTTTACTCTCCGTTTTGTTCGTTCACATGCTATTAATTTGCATACGTGAGAAGTTTTTTTGTCACCACACGAAGTCAAGCTAACAAGGGAATGTTACCTGATTACGGTAGCGTAAATCTCCCGGAAAATCCAGGCGCTGAAAAAGAATTCTAGACCCCAGATTTCTTTGACTACGGCGGCAAGGAAGTCCGATTACTATATACGCGCAGACGATCTCTCGCCCATGAAGTTTTTGCCTGTTGTTTTTTAACTACTTCTGCGACCCACTGTTCTTATTCACTGCCAAAAAGTTCCGAAACAAAACTTTCCCAAGATGCCCAGCGCGCCTCTCAGCACCCTCGGGTTAATTTTGGATTAAACATTAATTGATACGAAAACGAAAACTTTTTCTTATCTCCGAGCAAAATCTCGCAACGAAAATCATTGAATTAAAACACTATCTGTTAATGGAAGTATGAGGAATAGAAGGAATTCACATCGCTCGCAAAATTTCCAAGAATCGAGCGATCTAAGTGAATTTTGTTCACACTGAATTTTTAATACATCCAAACAATATACAAGTTGAAAACACTTGTCGTCGGCGAAAAGTGGTTCGAACTGATTAAATGACTTATATTTCAAGAACGTTCTCCTTTCGAGGAATAACCCAGAGTTTTCAAACGCGAAACAAAAAAATCATGTCTTTCAAACAAAATTTCTGATAAACTACCGCTTTACAACTTCCGCGCAGTTCTTCCAAGATAGAATCAAAATATTACATTTGAATTTTAGATCAGCTCAAGGGAAGTTTTAAATGAAATCAACTGCGAAAAGTAATTTACTTTGGTTTTGGAAAACATTAAGCACTACTTAATCAAATTTTTAAAACAACAGGGGACTATGGTCATAAAAATTTTGCAACTCATGGAAACTAAGAAGCAAGAAACCTTTTCCCGTGACATTTGATAAACATAATTACGGGCAACTCAAGTGGCAAAAAATTGGAGAGTTATACTCCTTGAGATGAATCGAAATCATTTATTATTCGATACCTGGTGGATTTTATTTCTACATAAACATTTTCGGTAATTGATGTAGGGCTGAAAAATTATCAAACAGATCTTAAGTGTAAGTCTACGATGGTATAATTTAGACAACATGAAGAATGTTTACTTTTGTGCTTTCGCTTCGAAACAAGTAAAGACAGGCATTGTCGAAGCAGAGAAGCAATTTGTTAAATGTTGACCCTCCATGAGGAAGAAAAGAGTGAAGCTACGTGACAAAAAAATCGAGGTTATTCGAGGATTCTATAATCGTTTTATGGTAAAGTTTAAAGTCTAAAGCCTCTTTTTCTACTACAGCGGATTTTGGGCCGATAAATATAGGTAATTTTCAAAATTTTCATCTTTACACTTAATTCGATAACAACATTGTCAAGAACTTAACATGAATATGACCAACAATACGAACACCAAACGCAGATCTTAAGTTGACAGCTGAATGTCGACAAGAAAGCTTAACACTTTATTAAGTTTTACAGCGTAAAGTCAAAATGATAAATTTTTCGACATTTAAACTGAAAGGCGACGACAGATAATAACTGATGGACTTGATTTGAATAAACCTGCCATCAAATAAAAACGATGATTAAGTTGTGGATCTCTCTACTGCTGTTGTTTGATGTTGTTTGAGGAACCGCGATGAGAACTTTGACAAAATATTTACCAATATGAAAAAGGTTCAATGTTTTTTTGTTGTTTCGAAATCTTATTGCAAATGAGAAATAAATCGAGCGCGCAAGGCTAGCTCTGAGTAAGGAGGCTGAATCAGATGGTCTGAATATAGAAGACTGGTTGAATAGCAGACAGTCTAAGGTACAAAGCTAATTATTTCATTTCAATGATAAATAATTACAACGACACACTTTGTGATTTTCATGTGTTCGAAATGCAGATTCCCGTTGAACCAAACGCTTGAACTCAAGATTTAGCTGTGATGTTTGTTATTCGATGAAATTCCTCCAATTTTCCGGTCCGTTTCTTTTTCAAAGAAAAAAAAATTGACAAATGAAGTCTTGCAGGCCAGGTATTTTGATACTGTGGAAATAAATATGATTTGAATATTTATTTTTCTTCGATTCATTAATGTTATCAGTATCATGGATTTATAAGCCGGAAAACAGGACAACATTTGGAAATTGATGAAAGAAGTTTAAACAGCGTTGTGGATAGACAGAGTAAATGCACACCTGTCAACCTCTCTAACCTCTCATACCCTAATGTCAGTATGCATATTGTCTACACTGTCCTCTGTACTAAGGTGCTGACAAGGAGTATTTGTGTAAGAATCAAAAGCTTTGTCAGTTGGTGATCATTTCCTTTATTTTTCCTTTAAGGAAAAATTAGATGCTAGTTACTGCGGTCAAAGGGGTAAATGGAGAAAAGAGAATACAAACAGTTTATATTTTCTTGATGGAGATAAGTAAGAGCAACCTGTGTAAATTTGACTCGAGAGGACTTTCTTTGAAAAACTTCATCCAGCTCAGTTACATGAATACAGCCGCAGCAAAGCGCATGAAAAACGGAAGGAAGACAAATGAACCACTAGGAGAATGCTTTGTGAATTCTTTGTTTGCTTTTATTCTGGTTTTGTACGCCCTATCTTCTGTGCACCCTCAAAGTAGCTCAGATGGCACACAGCTTAGCAGATGCGCAGCTGTTGCCTTCAGGCTCTGAGATATCTAGGAAGTTTTGGTATGTGGCCCGGCTGTGGCTGTCTTACTGAAAAGAGAGAGCTGTTTTTGCGGATCTGTTCATACTGGACGTAGGTATTCATTAGTGTCAATCATCAGTGCAATGATTGATGACGATATCTGACGTTTTGGCGAGACACTATTGGCAGAAATTCGATCCTATTTTAAAAATGCGTTATGCGAGCCCGAATTTTATAGTCAAGGGGCTAAGTTCCTAAATAAACTGTGGTGCTGCGTCGGTAAGGGAGTATAACAAGATAATTTGGTTCTATCGACAGAGTTCTGATGTAAATTGGCCACTATAAAGAGTTTCCAAAGCTGACATTTCGAGCGTTAGTCCTTCGTCAAATCTGTTACAGCTAGGGGGTTGTAAACAGAATGAAAAAGAAAGTAAATTTCGTACTGGGCCTCGCTCACCAGAGAGTCTCTGTGGCTCAGTGGTTGAGCATCGGAGCGGAGGAATCCGAAGGTCTGAGGTTCGATTCCCTTGGGGACTCAGAATTTTTTCTTTGTCCCACGCTCGTGACAAGACGAAAAACGATCTTTCTATATAACTAAAGGGTTGTTTGAATAGAGCGACACCTTTATTTCCGAGTGCATGTATGACACATTGACTGGCCCTGCCAATGCTGAAGAAAAAAAAAAATTTTTCCCGAAAAAAGGAAACACATTGTCCCGACTTTCATAATGTTCATTACATTACCTACACGTGTCTCGTACGTAGAGAAACTGAATCTTACCCTAACGAACCCGCAGCTTTACAATGATTGAGAATGTATCACATCTAACTGTACACGTCTCTAAGTGAACCTGCAGACTTCGATTTAAAACGTCCACAACGTTCACAATCGGATAAAGTGGCCAATTGTTCGCATACTATAATGAATTGATGTAGAAAGTTAGTATCTTACCTTTGGTCCTGTTTCATCACGACCAACCGAACCGAACTGTATTATGTCAGACTTGCCACCGAAGTCGAAGCCCCCTCATTTCGCTCCTAACTTTGTTTTTGTTCTCCTATTTCCTGAGTCAACTTTCATGTCCAATGCTACCACAAACATTAAGAAAAGGTCCTTGAAAATACAGCTCTTCTCCTGTGGCTGAAATTTCTGCCGAAGCATTGCCCGAAAATAGCTTGCAAACTCAAAACTGCCGCCATTTTGAGATATACTAGTAACCAGTCTCTTTGCGATTTTTATTCAGGGGGTGTCCAGAAGGATCTGAAACCCAGCCTCCTATCATTACGCCTTCAGTGCGAGCGACGCTTTCCTTTGTGGGAAGAACTCGTTCATTCTGGCAATTTCCAGTGTCCAGAGATATCCGCTGAGTTACGCTTAGGTGCCTTCACCTGCATATCTACGAAACTTGTTTGTCTCCTTGTAGTTAGCTGACGATTAGTTGCCGCCTATTCCTCAAATCATATGGAAATTGTCGCTGGTGTATTTAGCGAGACAAGCAAAGTGACTTCTTTTCTCTGATACAAAACTCTTAACCCACATAGAGAGAATTACCGTCCAGCAAGCTTCTACAGAAAAACCTCATGCTACTCCGGAAAAAGTCGTCCTCTCTAGCACAAAAACAACACTATGCCATTAAAAACAGACGGACAAATGTATCAAGCGCATGAAACAAATTAGTCAGTAAAACAAGAGTTGTATAAAAACCTAAAATTTATTCACGTTTCCTACATCCTGTCGGCAAAAACGCCAGAAATCAGGAACAACAAAAGCTTATAACTTACAAGCGCCAAAATACTAGATAATATTAAGTGATCTATTCATAGCCCCTGATATGACATACAAAGAACAAGAAAATATTTATTTGTTCCATATCAGAGTAATTAAATTGATTACATCATACCATCCGAACAATAAATTACTAGTACTAACGAAGTCGGACAGTTTAAAACAAGGAACAATCAGTAACTTCCGATGAACGTTGAACTTTGGGCTGGACACTCGCAGATCGAAATCTAAGTCTACACCACGCGCCTTGCTTCCTTATTTTGTAAAATTATTTGTTATCGTAGAAAATATTCAGTGGTTCAACAGCTTTATTTGAAGCTCTACTAATCTAGTGTCGTTTTCCTTGGACTTTTGAAGTGTTCGCCAAACTTACCATACTTTTAACCAATCATAGTTTCAAGTGACCTTACACTTGTCGAGCTTCTGAGACAAATAAATATTAAGTTTCGCTCGCATGGATAATAATTAGACATGCCTTTTGTTGCGAGATAGTATTTAGAGCTTTAATCAGTCTTGACAATGATTTCAACCCTTACACTCCCAAGATCAACAAGTCAATTCTCCAAACTGAAACTCTACATTTCTGTTAGCTAGTCCTGAGAACCTAGCATTTAGTACTGAGTGTCATCTTATAAACGAACTTCTGTCTACTCGTAGATGGTGTGGAATATCGCAAAGAGAATTTACGTTCAGATCATGTTTGGGAGGTAAAGGGCTAACATAACACAACCTACAACCGCATCAACGTAGCTGGTATTAACTAATACTACGAGGGATATTTTTCTTCAATGTGGAAAACAGGTATGGA